CCTTCAACTACTACAACGCCTTCAACTACGACGACAACTCCAATGCCTACAACTACACCTTCAACTACGAAAACAACTTCTCATGATCATCATGTACACCATCACAATCATTATCATCATATTCCGCTGCTTCTTCCGAAACCACCCGCAATTCCACCTCCACCGAAAATTTCCTTTCCAGCTTTACCGCCCCCTCCAGGCCTTATAGTTCCTCCAAAGGGTCCTGCCTATCCAGGAATACCAGCTTCGCCTAGTTTATCGCTACCATCACTTCCTGGTCTACCAAAACCTCCTTCGTTTCCTATTCCTCCTCCTCTACCAACGCCTCCTGGATTATCGTTTCCAGCTCTGCCGATAGTTCCGGCACCGCCAGCCCCACCAAAATTACCAAGCTTATCCCTTCCGATAATATCATTTCCACAAATTTCTATTGGCGTACCGGTGACACAAAAGCCTACAAAGTTACAAGACCCAGTCCCGCCAAATCAATCCGAATTAACAGCTATTAACCCCACTCCTCCTGTACTCCAATTCCCAGGCTTTCCTCCACCACCGGCACCATTTCCCAATCCTTTTGGCTTACAATAGAAGTCACCTATTATTCTAATTTCAAAAAAGAACAAGCTGTAAACGTTTAAAAATATCAAAGTGCTGCAAAGCTTCTCATTTACTTAATTATATTTTCATAATCTGAATTATGTCATTTCGTTGTTCTTAACAATTCCCCGATGCTGTTCTGAAAATAATGCTAACAAGAAGGGCCGCAGCTGCCACAGCAAGATCCACAAGGTGCATAACAAGGTGATCGGCCACATGGACCACAGGGGCCACATGGTCCACAACAGGCGCCAAAGCAGGGCCCACAACAGGGCTCACAGCATGGTCGTCGGATTGGTATAAGAGTGCAACCACCGCCGCAGCACATATTGTATTATTATTATTAGTATTATATCAAGATCCTCACGGAATCAGAAATGAATACGACCTGTGGATATGTTGTCAATCTATCACTTATCACAGCCACAGGGTAATAGTTCTCCACTAAATCACTGTAGTTGACATCAATGACCCCTATAGGACGATAAAACAAGAATCAATTTTGACATAGTTTTATATTTATGCATATACTTACATGACTATAAAACAGTTACAAGGAATTTATAAATAACGTGCTTATTGTATACAAATGTTTTATGTATACAAATGCAAATACGAATGACAAAATGTGTAAATTTTCCTGAACCTTGAAAATTGAATGTATCTAGGCCTACTATAGTTATTTTCTATAAATATTTTAAAATACAATATATAACAATATATAAAAATAAAAAATAGCAAGCAAGAAAGCTTTACTTGAGACTGCTTTACTACGAGATCTCCTGAACCCTTTGTGGTACTGACATTTAAAAATTTCTCTGCTTTATTCTGCTTACACAAGAAACAGTTCATTCGCACAAACACAAGTACACACAGACGCAAATACACTTTTTCGCCCTGAACAAGAATATATACTTTTGAGGTATGACACGCCTTCTTCAGCCTGTTACATTTTCACAAAGGCATGGACGATGCACAATAAATGGAAAATGACATTCCACATTCAGACRWAAATGTACATATGTGACAGACACATAAATTACATTGGTTGCTTTAGTTTAGAGATTGCAGTTCATTGATAGCGCGAGGAACTGTAAAGGCACACGTTAGCCTTATAAGTTAAAGAACTCGTATATAAGAAGCAAAGTTGAGCTAAATAAAACTAGTGATTCTTGGTCGTTCGCTATGGTAAGTTCTGCTCACAAGTTCTTTACAATATCAGTATTTTCATGAACATTCATTCATTTCATGAATGGATTCATTAGACTCATAGGTATTTGCTGCTGATTATCATCTCTCAAACGATTTCTCTCACAATGGGGGAGGGAGAGCAGCTTCCACCATTTACAATGCCACCAGAATTCTGCATGTGGTTTCCGAAAGCTACTCTTTGCTTAACAACTCCCANTACTACTACACCTTCAACTACGACGACAACTACTACACCTACTACTACACCTTCAACTACGACGACAACTACTAAACCTACTATTACACCTTCAACTACTACTACACCTACTACTACACCCTCAACTACTACTACACCTTCAACTACTACTACACCTTCAACTACCACTACACCTCCAGTGCCTACCTCAACACCTTCTACTACGGTGACAATTACTACTACATCTTCAACTACGACGACAACTATGATGTCTGCTACTCCACCTACAAAACCGACAACTCCAGTGCCTACAACTCCACCTACAACTACGATAACAACTACTACTACACCATTAACTACTACTACACCATCAACTACTACCTCACCTTCAACTACGACGACAACTACTACACTTTCAACTACTACTATACCATCAACTACGACGACAATTCCATTCCCTACTACTACACTTTCAACTACGACGACATCTACTACTATACCTTCAACTACGCAAACATCTTCTCATAATCATCATGTGCACCATCACAATCATTATCATCATATTGCGCTGCTTTTTCCAAATATACCCGCCATTCCTCCTCCTCCGAAAATTTCCTTTCCAGCTTTACCGCCCCCTCCAGGATTAGATTTTCCAAAGAGTCCTGCCTTTCCAGCATTACCAGCTTCACCTAGTTTATCGTTACCTGGTCTACCAAAACCTCCTTCGTTTCCTTTTCCTCCTCCTCTACCAACGCCTCCTGGATTATCGTTTCCAGCTCTGCCGACAATTCCAGCACCGCCAGCCCCACCAAAATTACCAAGTTTATCCCTTCCGATAATATCATTTCCACAAATTTCTATTGGCGTACCGGTGACACAAAAGCCTACAAAGTTACGAGACCCAGTCCCGCCAAATCAATCCGAATCAACAGCTATTAACCCCACTCCTCCTGTACTCCAATTCTCAGGTTTTCCTCCACTCCCGGCTCCATATCCCAATCCTTTTGGCTTATAGTTGATGCCATTTAATATGGATTCTAATTTTAAGAAAGAACAAGCTGTAAACGTTTAAAATTATCAAAGAAGTTTCTCATTCAGTTTATTAAAATTTAACTATATTTTCATAATCTGAATWAAATACCCCGATGCTGTTTTGAAGAAAAATATATAACAAGTAGGAAAGCTCTAGTCGAGACTGCTCGACTTCGAGATCCCCTTTGAGCAAACGATATTTCAATAATTCTTTGCATGCACATATGCATGCGCACACACATAGTCGCATATGCCTAAATAAGCGCATTCGCCAAAGTACAAGTCTCTAGTATTTGGAATACGACTTTTACAAATTTTTAAGTGTGGTTGTAGCTATAAGGGTGGGGGTGAGTTATAGCATAAATCATAATTCTATAAAGTACATATGAATCTACATTTAAATTTTATATTACTAAAAATTCAATTGCTGATTTTTGAATTTCGATGTTTTAATCGATAACTAAATAAGGGGATGGGCTATCGATGGGAATATATATACTTAATGGAGTCTGCCACGCCACCTTCTGCCTGTTACTGTTACTTTCAACAAAACCAATATACCATAAGTTTCTATTGAAAATGGGATTTGCATGCTCATCCGATTCCTTTTTTTTATCGACAGTAATCGATAAAGTTATTTCGTTTTTAATCCTAATTGGGACACTGGAGACTTCAAAAGTTCTTCAAAAGTCAAGTATTTAGCTCTTATATCTGAGCTCGGGGCTTTAAACTGCTACCACCTTAGCGGCTGAACATCTTAAATGAAGCTCCCAAAAATTCAGAAAATTCGAAGATTTTCTAATCACAAAAAAGTTAAAAAAAAAATTAAGACAAACACGAGTATGCATAAATTTATAAGTAACGTAAATAATAACAGTTTGTCGGTAAGCGGCGAAGAGTTGACGGGTGAGCATTTTAACGAGCGGATTTTGGCCCACATAGACGGTAACGCCCAGTTGCAAAATACCCTCAGAAATGCGCTGTTGGCTGCCAGCCGGTGAGGCACTGCTTCAGATGATTGCCATGCATTCGCCATCGCCCGTGGTTGTCCAGAAGTACCACAGCAGCTGCAAGAGCTGGAGGCCCTATTCCAGCAGACTCATTATCTGGACGTCTTTCTGCGCGAGGAAGCTGCGCTGCGCATCAGCGTCAGCGAGCCGCGCATCCAGGTGTGGCACGCGGTAAACGGCGGCAATGGCAACAGTCAAATGCCAGAGAACTTCTCTGCTGGCAATACACCGGACAACAAGGATGCCATGATCAATAGCGCTAGTAGCTTTACCATGATGCATCCAGCTTTCCAACAGCAACAGCCACAGTCAAGGCATTCCCAGGCCGAGCTCGAGAAGCTATCCAAAATGGTTATAGGCATAAGTATTTATAGTAACAATTTGATGCCAACTTATTAAAAACCATGCAAATCTAGGTATATGGAAAATAATTATAAATTCGTTATATACAACATGCGACTTACCCAACTTATAATACCAGTACCAGCGATAACTTCCAGTAGATATCATTTTGCATTGTGCTCTGTATCCCTAGTGTGAAGAGCAATCTATCCTAATTCCAACATATGGCTAATCTTATTTAAAGATTATATTTAACATTCATGAAAAACCTATTTATAAACAGAGAATTATTTAATAAATTGAAATGATTATTTCAATCGGATACTTACGAAACGAGTCAACATTATAAACGAAGTGAGTAAGTTTTATGTATTGGTGCCACACAGTGAGGAACTAACGAATTCTGACTAACAATTATTGGAAGAAGTGCAAGAAAAAAAACACTTGTATTATGTAGGTATTTAAGTAACGAATAGGCCAAGCAATAGGACTGGTGAATTTTTAAACTCAATTTTAGCCATTTTTTGGAATTAAGATTTACAAAAAAATTTTGAGCAACATTTAAAATTTTTAAATTATTATTTTTTTTCCGAAAAAGATGTGGACCTAACAAAGTCTAGTTGAATAATGATGAATTTGTTCTATTCGGGTCCAAGCCAAGGCAACTAGGATATGTAAAAGTCAGAGGTAGCTGAGATTTATAAAATTGGGAGAGAAAATTTTTAAATCGGGACAACGAATGCTATAATACTAATTTGTAGTACATTTTATTTCAATGACTAAAATAAAAAATATTTTACGATTACGATGCCAGACCCTAATGAGCGAGCTATAAAGTTGACAGATATGTTGCATATCATCAGCCTCCTCGAAGGTATAGCCCTATATTTTCATTCTGCCCAAGTGCAAGGAATTTGGAATTATCGGGCAGAATAAGGATTATTTCATGTCCATGCGCGAATAGACGATGCAAATTATACACACTGACTATACAAACTATAATAAATCTATAAAATACTATAAAGCTTAAATCAAGTAGAGTCTTGTTTGTTTTCAGTATATTTATTAAGTAAAGGTGCTCAATTACACTTATATTTAACGTTGTTTTCTGTGAACATAAATAATTTTGAGAAGCTATATACGATTGTATAGCTGTTAAAGCTTTTCCTAGTATTTTTCTGCAACCGAGATCTCACCACCGCCGCAACCGAACTTGAAAGTCAGCAAGTTCTAACATACCTTAATCTTATCTTAATACAATCATCCGTGCCAGAAACCGGGGATAATTTGACCAGTACAGCTATTGAATGGTCCTTGGAATGAACAGAGGCAGGCATCATAGTAGCCACCAGGCCCAGCACTGCCGCAGATTCCAATGCTGGCAGCAGGATAGCACGTATAGTTTTTTTTTTTTATGTACATATTGTAGAATCCGGTTATAACGACTCCGCTTATAGCGCCTGTACGGTTATAGCGACGAAAATTCTTGTCCCCATACAAACCTTTAAGAGCAAGCTTATACGGTTATAGTGCCTTCCGGGTATAACGACGGTCCATTGAGTGTCGTTATAACCAGATTCTACTCTATAAATGGGCATTTCTCCAGAAAGGTCAACCGCAGCCAAAACATTCAAAGTCAATGAAAGCATGTTCTACTAACATATTTTTTATAACTAATCCATCAAATTTAACTAATATAAACCAATTATACATTTTATCATAAAACATCTGGAAATATTGAGACACAAAGCTGAATAAGTGCAAAAGTTCTGCTTTGAGCATTTCTATTGCACATTTTGTTCTTATCGTTGAGACACTATGCAATGAATCATGATACTTCGAATTTTCTCTATTTTATTATAATTAATAAATTGAATATATTGAAAATCATTTCTAATGCTTTTATTCATGTGAAATTACTAAAAAAATTTAAAAAAATAAAAATAAAAAGTATGGTGGAAAAAATGTCTCATTCGACACGTAAACTTCGACACGTAAACTTCGACTTAAAACTAAAAAATAAAAAAACTACTCTATATTTTAAAATCACATAAAAAACATTGTGAAGATGTGCCAATTCCTAATAATTTAAAATTATTCTTAATAAATTGTCACTTCAGGTTTCGCTAAAATCTCAAGTTGAACTGTTCATTTAAAAATCGACTTACGTTTTTTGTGGCCTGCGAACCTCTTGGTTTTTTGTGATTATCTTGAAAACTAACATTTGCCTAAAATTAGATTTAGCACCAACTATAGAGCTAATCAAGAGCTAAAGGATTCACTATTCGTCAAAAAATGTTTTGGCACTCGTACGAATGTCACATTCGCCACTAGAGAAACGCCCATATATAATATATACAAAGACAGATAAAGAGAAATAGAAGAAAACACTGCAATTTGTAGCTCATATCTAATGCATTTACTATTTAAAGTGTACAAAATACCCAAAGAGTGTTAATAGCATGATCTACAGAAGGCACGACTACAATTAGCTTCCAGACCATGACGTTTCGCCATAGGACCAGGTGCTTTGGGTGGACAGCAGGGCCCGCAGGGACCACATGGTCCGCAGGGTCCTCCACAAGGGCCACATGGTCCACAGGGTCCGCAGGGTGCTCCGCAACAGGAGCCACAGCACGGAGTGCAGGGTGAGCCGCAACATGAATAGCATGGATTGCACATCTTGGTTAGGTATTAGATTCAATTGCTATACGATATAGCTATATTAGTTCAAATCGATTCGCAAAGATGTGCTTTTGGGTATGGAAACAACTATTGATTTTAGAAATGCTGTGAATATTTTCAGTTACTTCGAACAGGCCTCTCACAGTAAATACTGGAAACTTGGAGAAAAAAAAAAAAAAAAACGATTATCAAACATAGGAATATATTTGTATATTCTCACTTACATGCCTAAAAATAGTCACAGAAATTGATATTGCTAAAAGAGCTCTTTTTTGTAGTAAATTCCAAAAGTGTATGTAGAAATTTTTATAAGTTTTTGGCAGTTCTTCAAATTTGTATTATCAAAGCCTGCTTTTTAGAAGTTTTTAGAAATAATACTTGAACTCATTAATAATATAATTAATAAAAATTTTATTTTCTATTGCTCAGCAAATTTATTTATCAGTATAATCTTGATATATTAATATAAATATAGAAATGGTTTTAGCTATTAAAGTAATCTTTAATTTAGTATTTGTACCTATTATGTATAACCAAAAATAGAATGTTTGGTTACAGATAAAAACAGATTCTTTTAAATGACAAATTAGCAGTCAATGATAACACTAAATTTATAATATAAATAAAATTCTGCCAAGAACGGGCTCAAATGAAAATATAGCACTTAGGTAAAGATTATCAACTTAAGAAAATGGAAAAAAAATGAGTAGCTTCCCAACAGCTTCAATGAGTTTCCCTTACCCATAACAATTCACAGAAATTCTTTAGTGGTTTGCCGAGTTCTCTTTACCATTTTTGAGTTCAAAAGCTGATGGCGCTTTCTTCATTCCCAATACCTACGACACTGCCCAATTATGATAATCTGATTTGGTGTCATCAATTTGCTATTTATTTCATATACAGTTACAAAGCAAGAGGTCTACCTATAATTTTTTTTTTTCAGCGCTGCATATTTCCTAAATTTTGTTCCGAAGATATATATAAGAAAAATAGTTAATAACACGATCTACAGAAGCCAGGAGTACATTTCGGTTCAAGGCCATGTCGCTTATAGCAACAAGGGCCGCAGGGACCACAACATGGACCGCATGATCCACAGGGACCGCAGGGACCACAGCAGGGGCCGCAGGAACCGCAACATGGATAGCACATCTTGGCAGATCGAGAAGTTTTACTGTGGGCAACAGACAATATCACAATTATTTATATTTTATAATTGAGAATAATGGATGGCGGTAGTACGAACCTTTAAAAATGTTCTTTTTCGATATGCAAAACAACTTTGGATTTTACAAATACTGTGATTATTTTCAGCTGTTTAGTCTTTAAAAAGAAAAACAATATACAAATGAATTGTTTTTAATATTAAATAATTTTTTTTTTTTTTTTTTTTTTTTTTACTTACATGCTCGAAAATAGTCACAGATATTCGGTAACTGTATACTGAGCTCGTTTCTGATAGAGATTATATAAAACAATGAAAACAAATCATTTGCTTCTGACTGTGCTCTCAAATTTCCATTTCAAGGCCTTCTTTGACGACTTACATTGCCAGTTAAAAACAAGTAATACTGTCCGATTACGAAATACCCTTAATCGTATGTAAACATTTTGGTAAGCAATTGCACAAAAACATTGTAACGCGCATTATGACTTTTGACTGGTAATTTGAATAAAATTTCTTCTTAAAAGTTTTTGTTTTTTTTTTTTTTTTTGATATCACATGGAAACTGCACAGTAATTTTAAAGTTGCAGCTTTTGGCAAAATTAAGTAAAGCTTAAAAAGGATTTACCTTTTCTGAAAATGTCTTTAAAATCGCCTTGTGAGCGCAAAAAATTTCCACAGGAAACGCGAGCATTAGGCGTGAGAGCACTAAGCAGTTCGTGATTTCGAGATTTGCAATGTTTTTGCAAAATTTTTCATACCGGAGAAAAATTTAGTCCCTTTCCAATTTCGTCAAAAAAAA